TTTTTTAATTAAAAATATAATTTATAACAAGGTCACATAAAAATGCCTAAAAGTAGGCACCAGAATAAGTATTGTTTTTTTATATGGCCTAGTTATACAAATTATATATCCGCATCCTAAAAGTATGCATCAAAAATTCAAATATTTATATTTTTGTGTTAAAAATTAATTTCTTTATTATAAATTTAATTTAAACCCCATAATTATGGAGACTGCATGTCATCTTGTGCAAAAAGAGTTGTAATCATCTGCTCAGCCTAAAAGTATGCACCATTATCTATATTATTTTGTAGTTAATTAAGTCGCAACTAGATAACCCTAATGTGAATAAAAATATTATTTTTTTCTTTTTAACATTGCGTGTTATTATTGTATTGAAAACGTATAAGACGAATATGAGAAAAAATATACGACATAATAACAAAGAAACATTGTTAGTTCCAAGGAAAACACGAACCCTTGGGCAACACATTTCTGGGAAAAATGTAATATGTTCATTATTATTATTAGCAATGGGAGAAATACATTTTTTTTTTTGCAGAATGGAAATGGGAAAGATGAAATCATTAGTATATAGAAAAATATGGGGTTTAATTTAATTATAGATATATGTCTTAAAAATATTAAAAAAATAATTCATAGAGGAAAACACCACAAAAAATTTGTTAAGCCCTGTCTGGGGTTTATATGATTCTGCATTAAGCCTAAGATGGTATAATGCCATATTGCTACAATAAAAGCAAACTATTTGACAGTTGTCATATGTTATCTTCTTTGTTGCTCTATTTCTCTTTTCTTTACATATGCCAAAAAACTAAACTTAAAATTTTTGTATTCCAAGGCATGTGGGTGGACTGTTGTCGCCTATGGGAAATAAAAACCAATAAAGTCATGCAAAAGGTCGGCCTCCATTTCTAATAAAAAAACATCGTAACATGTGAAACGAAAATTGAAAAGTTTCCGAATTTTTCTTCTTCTTCCTTAAAGAAAAAAATCTATTTGTAATAATGAAAACACTGGTGGTCAGTTCATGTTTTCTTTTTTTTATGAAGAAAAGAAAAAAATTACGAAAAACATACACAAGTCCAATATATCAGGGTATTCTGACATGTTTAAGGAGTGTTAATGTATGTCTGTATGTGTGTGTGTGTATGACTGACTGGGCCGCCTTTGTCGTCCACTATGTCTATTGTTAAATAAACTTTACAATTTTAAATGTTGTCTTTATTTAGAAGAAGAAAATGAAGAATCTGTAAAATAAACTTGAGATTCCACCCTCTTCGTGTTGGCTCACAAAAAAAAAAAAAAATATACGAAACTTGACCGGCAGGTCTTTGTTGTGGTTGTCTTCTTCAAATAACAAAAAAAACTAAAACATTTCTAAGACAATCTAACATTTTGGACTTGCGACATATATATAGGGGTTGTCACAATGTAATGACAAATTTAGTAATAAGGTTGGATTTTTTGTTGGTAGGCCAAGTTTTTTTGGCAAAGCCCATATTCTTGTACTTAAGAAAACTGGTATTTATCTTAGTCAACCTCAAACACACACTCACACACACACTTCCACATTCAGAGTTTATATGGAGGTAAGTAGATATAGGAAAAATCAAGTTTTATTTGTTTTTGGTCGTAATAAACCCCCACACTACCCCTTAGATCACGGTATTGTTGCTCAAAATCGTTCATGACAATTTTTCTTATTTATTTACTGTCAATCTGTGTGTATGTTTTTTTGTCTTCTTCTCTTTCTCATTTTGGTGTGTGTCATTGTTGTGGTTTTGCAACCTTTAGTTTTGTAAATGTTTGTATTGTTTGCATTTTTTTATATATCAGGGTCCATCCTTGCTAACGTGTGAGAGTACCATCATGTGTTTGCTTGCCCCCCTCCGCCCTTTTGCAGAATTTATTTTAATTTTTCAAAAAAAAGTCCTCTTCATGACTTATGCTGCCCTTTTTCTCTCAATTTCGTCTTTGACTTTATCTTCGTATTGGTTTTTGTTTTCTTTTGTTTTTTTGTTCATTTCAATCTTAAGATATGTCCAAGGAAAACATATTAAAATTCAAAAGAAAATATTAGTTTCTTGCACAGTCTTTTTTCAGAATGAGTAGTTGTTGTTGTTTGTTTTATTTTGTCATGTGAAATAACAATTGGAAATTGTCGGCCCGAAAATGGCAAACAACAACATATGTGCGCAAATGTGTATTATTAAGGATTTAACAATGCAATGTTTTAGAGGAGGGGGTGTGTAATTTTGGCAAAGGTGGAAGGGAGCGGTAAGGCAAGAAATAATAAAATGTTAATTCTGTGGCCATTCAATGAAGGCAGTACAACTTTATAAACAAAATTTTCAATTTTTTTTTCGAATTTTTGCATTAGAAGATTTTTTGACTCACGATTTTTTGTCATACCCTTCACCACACTGTGAAGTCTTGAATGACGTGCACTAAGTTTCGAGAAAATCGGTTCCGATTTAGATATAGCTCCCATATATATTTTCGACCGATTTAGGGTAAATGGGGCACCAAAGTCGCTATATATCATCCGATTTGCACGAAATTTTGCACAGGATAGTGAAATAGGTCCAGCATGTTGTTTGCTAAGTTTCGTGAAAATCGATTCAAATTTAGATATAGCTCCCATATATAGTTTCGTCCGATTTTATGTAAATGGTGCACCAAAGTCCCTATACATCCTTCGATTTGCACAAAATTTGAATTAGGTCGAGAAGCTGACGTCTGTTTGGATACATTTGTAGAATATACCCAAAGTGGTGAAGGGTATCATATAGTCGGCCCAGTCCGACTTTACTACTTCCCTTATTGGTTTAAATTTTTTTATTTTTTTTAGGTTCTGAATTTTTTTCCAAAAAAAACCTTTTGCTTAAATTTACCTATGATTTTTTTCATCTAAATTGAATAACCTGTCATATGTTAATATATAAAATTTTCTATTGCATAATTTTAGGGGCGCATAATATTTTACTATTTTCTTCCCAATAATCCCAAATGAAGAAAAAAAATCCCCCTGTACAACTGTTGTTTGAATTACAAATGATGCCATTGTTTTTTGTCCAGTTTCATTTTTTTCGTTTCTAATGACCATAAAGGATGTGTAGATGTGTGCCACATACACACATGCTAATGGCCGTTAACAGGACATAAGCATAGATATTGAATGTTTATAGATGATTATAAGAACATATATGCATATATAGCTGCAAGGAATAATGGAATAACAAAAGTACACACATATGTACATACGTACGTATATATGTGTGTTTGAATGTAATAAAAAACAGCATGTCATCATTTGGAATCAACCCCAAGCGAAAAAAAATAAACGATTGAAGGAAGGAAGGAAAAAAAACAACCAACCACCTTAAACACGCATCACAGCTGGACAAAGGAACTTAAACGAATGCCAAACTTCTCGTTTTCTTTCGATTCGTTTTTTGTTTCGGCTATTGTCATAAGATGTTATTACTCATAAAACGTATGGTCACTTTAAATAGATTGTGTATTGAATATTAACAGCCAAATAATCAAAAAAACAAAAACCGAAATCGTCTAAATATCCTTTTGTGTAAGGGAGAGGATGGTAGGAGAGGGGGAAAATCATTCAGAACATAAGGATATAATTTAATGATAAATATATGACCATTTAGAGAATAATAATAATATTCCGAGTGTCATCACTTGGAAATTGCTTTTCAAATACACACAGCAAATGTCTTCAATGACAATGGTGATGGTGAGATGATGGCAAGATGATGATTATTTGGTGTTGTTGGTGTTATGAAAATTACCAAAAAAATATGTGTGTATGTATGTTGGTGTTCAATATATACGGTAATAAACATAAATGTAATTTCTTTCTAGCTTGTTTTCAAGTAGTTTTCAATGACACATGAATGTCCTGGAAATTGGGATATTTTTTATTTCTTATTAGATTATTTTTTTGTTGTGGAGTTCGAATTGGAATTGTTGATTTGACTCACGTCCCAGCAATATTTGCTTGGTGTTAATGGTATAGTTAAAAATAATTTTTATTAGCTGGGGGGTAAAAATTACTTTTCTCGAAGATTTTTTCACTTGGTTTCACATCCTCAAGGGATTTTCTTTTATAATAAAGAAAAAAATAACAATAAAAATTAACACAAATATTTTCATTTCAATAATAAAAAAAAACTTAAAAAATAGGCAGGCAAGACATTTAGCTGATATAACTAGAAACTAAAAAAATCTAATTATTTTTATATAATGGCAAACATTTTATTTTCCTTAATTTAAAATTTTATTTTTTTAACACACACTTTGTTTGTTATGGCCAATTTTTTTTATCAATTTATCTTTTTTACCAATTTGCCATTATTATTATTTTGTTTGAATATTTATATTTTTAAATGTGTTTCTTTGGTTACTACATGCTTAGATATTTCATTCATCATCATTATTATGTATGTATTGCATTAAATGATTCGTATAATTTATTTTGCAAAAAAAGTTAAAAAATTTCCAATTGGTTGATAACTGATTTTTTGGTGATATTTTTTCCAGTTGATTTTTTTTTGTAAATTATTGAATTTAAAATTCTTTTTAGGTTATGTATGAATACGTTCAGTTTTTTTGTATAGTTTTTGAGAGAGAATTTTGTCAACATAACAACAAGAGGCAAATATATTCAATATAATATATAATAAATAGAGAGATATATATGTAAATATATGTATGTAAATAGTTAGAAAAAAACATATATGTATATGTAAAAAAATGTATATAAGAATTATGAATTTTAATTTTTTTTCATGTTACGTTTTTTTTTTGTCAATCAATCAATACAAAATGCTTGATAGATACATTTATGTATTTATTTTTTTTTATAAATTCATTAGAGAGAGTGATAGTATTTAAAAAATGAATAAACGAAAATAAAAACAAAGAAATAGCTTGGGGCTAATTTGTATATATGAAAAATTGCAAACTTTTCGACTTACCGAAATCACCACCCATGCCTGAGGGTCCTGGCAATAGGCCCGGTATACCTTGCAAACCCAAAAATGCATTGGGGAAGGAATGTGAACGTTGATTGTCCATGGAATCCATTGTACCTTCGTTTTGTCCATCGCCACGATCTGAGGGTTCAGTATCGGAACTATTCGAATCATCGCATGCACTTTGACCGTGTAGAGAGCCCATATCATTGTGTTGTTTCTGGAGAGGAATGGGAAACATGATTAAGTGTGTTTTTTTAATTTTTAAATACATTTTTGTATAGAAAAATATTATTAAAACATTAATGAATTTTTTATAAAAAATTAAAAAAAAAAAAAACTTATAAAAAAATAAAAAAAAATTATAAAAAATTAATAAAAATTTTATAAAAAATTAAAAACTATTTTATAAAAAATTAATAAAAATTTTATAAAAAATTAATAAAATTTTTATAAAAAATTAATAAAAATTTTTAAAAAAAATTTTTTTAAATTGTTATAAAAATTAATAAAAATTTTTTATAAAAAATTAATAAAAATGTTATAAAAATTAAAAAAATATATAAAAAAATTAATAAAATAAAATAAAAAAATTAATAAATATTTTTAAAAAAAAAATTAATAAAATTTTTATAAAAAATTAATAAAATTTTTTGTAAAAAAATAATAAAATTTTTATAAGAAATTAATACAATTTTTATATAAAATTAATAAAAAGTTTTATATAAAATCAATAAAATTTTTATAAAAAATTAATACAATTTTTATAAAAAAATAATAACATTTTTTATAAAAACTTAATAAAATTTTATAAAAAATTTAATAAAATTTTTATAAATAATAAAATTTTTTTATAAAAAATTAATAAAATTTTTATAAAAAAATTAATAAAATTTTTATAAAAAAATTAATAAAATTTTTATAAAAAAATTAATAAAATTTTTATAAAAAAATTAATAAAATTTTTATAAAAAAATTAATAAAAATTTTATAAAAAAAATAATAAAATTTTTATAAAAAAAAAATAATAAAAATTTTATAAAAAAATAATAAAATCGAAAACATGATAATGTGTGTTTTGATTTTTAAATAAATTTTTGTATAGAAAAATATTATTCCAAAATTAATAAAATTTGTATAAAAAATCAATAAACTTTTTATATAAAAATTAATAAAATTTTTATAAAAAATTAATAAAATTGTTATAAAAAATTAATAAAATTGTTATAAAAAATTAATAAAATTGTTTTAAAAAATTAATAAATTTTTAAAAAAATAATAAAATTTTTATAAAAAATTAATAAATGTTTTATAAAAAATAATAAAATTTTTATAAAAAATTAATAAAATTTTTATAAAAGTTTACACCAAAAATAATATATATATTTTTAAAAATAATGATATAACAAATTAATATAATATCAATAAAAATTAATAAATATTTTATAAAAAATATTAACTTTAATTTTTTTTAATTTAATTAAATTAATTAAATTTAATTTAAATTAAAAAATATTAATTTTTTTATAAAAAAAAATTAATAACATTTTTGTAAAAAAATTAATAAACTTTTATAAAAAAAAATAACAAATTTTTTAAAAAAAATATAAATATTTTTCTACTTTAATAGAATTTTTATAAAAATAACAAAGCCTTTGTAAAAATTTAATAAAAAAAATTAATACAGTCTTAATAAAATTTTTCTTAATAAATTTTTAAGATTTTTATAAATTTTTTATAAAAACATTTCTATAAAAAAATTAGTAAAATAAAAATTTTAATGAAATTCTTATTATAAAATTTTTATTAAAAAAAAAAACATATTTTTTATTAAAATTAAAACTATAACTATTTTTTTTTAAATTTATAAGATTTTTATTAATTTTTTATAAAAACATTTCTATAAAAATTAAATAAAATAAAAATTTTAATTAAATTTTTACAATAAAATTTCTATAAAAAATATTTTTATTAAAAAAATTATTTTTATTTTTTTTTTAAAACTATAATTATTTAAATAAAAAATGTATAAAAATATTAACATTTTCCTTAAAAAAATTAATAATATTTTTATATTTTTTCGTATTAAAAACCAATGATTTTTTTATTATTTTTTTAAATATTAATTATTTTTTATTAAACAAATATTTTTTTAATTAATATATTCATCAATTTTTATTAAAATGTTAATTATTTTTTATTAAAATTTTAATAATTTTTATAAGAAATATTTTTTTAGCTTCTTAGTAAATAGACATAATGATTTTTATTTTAAATAGTTAAGTTTCATTAAAAAAAATTTTTTTCTACCAAAAATTAAATTTAAATTAAAAACACATTATCCTGAAATACTTACCTGTAAACCATTTGAATTTTCCAACGCCTGGCCCAATAACGATTCACGCATTTCACGATCACGATCTCTTGAAGTTTCACGGCTACGATCGCGATTACGTGTCAAAGGATGTTGACCAGCAACGGGGAAGTCACGATCAATTAACAAACGTTCAGGGCTGATGCCATGTTGGGCACGAAACAAATCGGCAGATTTAATGCGTTTTTGGGGTGGAGGGGTCAAGTGGTTGTTGCGATTGCTGTCCGAATCTGAATGATCCCAGTTGTTGGCCTGAGAGAAAAATACAAAAAAGAGAAAACAAATTTTGGATATTAGTAAAACCCCACAGAGCAGATCAGGACAATTCCTTTAAAATTTGTAATTGGTTTTGGCCTTGTCTACTTTACTTTATTGTTGTTATTTGATTTTCTTACGGGAGACGCTGAGGAAGCTTTCAATTCCTGTATGGCAGGTGTTTTTCCATTGTTGCTACTACTATTGTTGTTGTTGTTGCTGCTGTTGCTATTATTATTATTGTTGTTGTTATGACTGTTGTTATTGTTGCTTGTGTTGTTGCCATTGGCATTACTGCTAGTGTTATTTGTTGATGTTGTATTGTTATTGTTGTTGTTTAATAGATTATTGAGTGGTGTATTTGTCGACGCAAGGGCGGGTGTCGTAAACGGCGAACTACCAGCATTTTGACTCAACGCCTGACTGGCAGCTGTTAGAAAATTTAACTTATTTGCCGCACTACCCGTTAGATTACTGCTCAACGCATTACTAAGCGATTTTGCCATGGGACTTAGGGTTGTTGCCGCTGCCGAATTGGCAAAAGGATTTGCCGTATTCAAGCCGGCATTGTTGACATCCGCCAAGCCGCGAATCTGTAGCAGATGAGCGGTTTTCAAGAACTCGGGTAAATGTTCGTGGCCGACATTTACTTCACCGTTGTAAATAAAGCTGGAAAGGGGGAGCAGAGAAAAAAATTTGAATTAAAAATATAAATAAATTTGAAAAAAAAAATTAATTTAAAAACATAAAGGAAACAATTTTTATATTTAAAAAATGGGATTTGAAAAATGGAATTAAATTTGATTTAAAAAAAAATTAAAATTTGAAAAAAAATTTAATGATTGAATGTAAAGAAATGAAAATGGGATTCAGCCTGACTATTTTGCAAAAACAAAATAAAAATGGTATCCCAAATAAACCGCCAACACTACTGAAATTAAATTAAGTTTTTTTTAATTTCCAAAAAAATTGAAAATTTTAAAAAATTAAAAAATATAAAATTTAGAAAAAATTGAAAAATGTAAAAAATCTCCTACCTCAATAAATTCTCCACATCATCGGCCGGCACATCCCGCAATATAATTATGGGATGTTCACAGGGATTGGCTTTCAGCAGTTTGCGGAAATATGGACTGCAGGCACTCAAGACCACCTTGTGGGCGGTGAATGAGCGTTCATCACATGCCAGAGTGACATCGACAAAGTCTTCTTCATCCCGGAGATGACGGAATGAGCTCAACATCGATGTTTGGTAGTCATTCCATTTTAAAGCATATTGTTGTTGTTGTTGCTGATGCATTTGTTGTGTTGCACTTAATAGGGAAGCGGTTTGTTGTTGCAATTGTTGGGTTGCCACGGCGGCGGCAGCTGCTGCAGCAGCCAATTGTTGTTGCTGCTGCTGTTGTTGTTGTTGCTGCTGATGCAGTTGTTGATCCATTACCGAGGATGGTGATGGCGATGTGGCCAATGTGGTGTTTGCTGTTGATGCTGTTGTGGCCGGCGGTAATGGTTCCATTTTAACAACGCCTGCGTTATTATTTTCTGCTGTTTGTAGCTGTGTTGATTCAGTCATTTGCGTAATTTTGTTAGAATGGAGTTGTTGTAGTGTTATGGTTGCTGTTGTTTTTTGTTTTACTTAGATTTTTATTTTTTTCTTTGCTCAAGGCTAAGGGCCTATTTATTGCTTGCTTTTAAGTTGTTCTCTTTTTTGCAAATGTAGAAATTTCCAAATTATTTGTATTTGTTGTTGTAAAAGGGTTTTCTTTTTCAAATATATTTTTGTTGTAATTTTGTTTTATTATTTTCTTTATAGTATTTTTGTTTATTTATGGCTCTTTTTCTCTAAAAAGTCAATAGTTTTTGTTCTTCTTTCCTTTTTTAAGCTAGGCCATATGCAAACTTTGCCATTAAATTTTGTTGTTGTTTTTATTTTTCTCTTTTTGTTGTTTAGTTAATAAATGATTTTTTTTTTATTTTAAATAAACATCCATATTTAGTTCATTTTTTGTTGTCCATAAGATTTGTAGATAATTAGTTTTTTGTTGTAGTTTGAGGATTTAAGGTTATTTTTTGGGAGGACTTTTTGTAGTTTTGTTTGTGTTTTCCTTCAAAGATTAGGTTTCAATAAGTGGACGGAATTCTGTAAAGAAAATTTAAAAGAAAAGAAAAAAAATTAGTAAATTTGTTTGCTTTGATTTAAAATTAGAAATGATAGGAAAATATATAATAATATACTAGATATAGGTTGGGCGCCAACACAATGTAGTCTTGTAAATTTTTTAATATTAATTTAATATAGATATAATTTAATTTTTTTAAGCATTTAAGATGTTTTGAAATTTTTTACGTTGGGCGCCACACACCACACTTCTAAATGTAAACTTCACAATTTCTTTTACAGAAAATCTTCCAAAATAACGTATAATACATAAATTTCATTTTTTGTTAATATAATTTAGGAATAGTACCAGTTCTATTAAACACAACACTTCTAAATGTAAACTTAAAAATTTTTATACGTTGGGCGCCACTTTTAAATTTTTTTCCAGTTTCTTTAACATGTAGCCAATATAATTTATTTTCACTAAAATTAGCTGTTTATTATATACTTTTCGATTTTTGTTAATAAATTTTACGTTGGGCGCCACTTATGAAAATTGTGAAAAATTCGATTTTTCTCTAAAAAATATGGGAAATATATTTTTTTATTAAATTCACACCCCGCAACCTTTTCAATTCTCCACATAACACAATTCTAAATTTACCCTTAACAATTTTTTCACGTTGGGCGCCAATGTAATTTTTTTCAAATAATTTTTTAAGGAGACTAAATTTAATGTGTCAATAATATGTAGCCAACATAACTTATCATTAGCTATTTATTCTATAGTTTTTGATTTTTTTTAATAAATTTTACGTTGGGCGCCACTTATAAAAATGGTGAAAAATTCGATTTTTCTTAAAGAAATATGGAAAATATTTGGTTTTATAAATTCACATCCCACAACTTTTTCAATTCTCCACATAACACAATTCTAAATTTACAACTTTGCAAATTTTTCACATTGGGCGCCAATGTTAATTTTTTCAAATTATTTTTTAAGGAGACTAAATTTAATTTACCAATAACATGTAGCCAAAATAACTTATCATCTCCTATTTATTCTATAGTTTTAGATTTTTCCAAAAATGTTTACGTTGGGCGCCACTTAAAAAAATTCAATTTATGAATTAATCCATTGCTCAAATGATGAATTAAAAAATTATTTTTAAAGGAATTTTTTTTTGGAAACTAAATTTAATTTACCAATAATATGTAGCCAATATAAATTATCATTAGCTATTTATTCAAAAGTTTTAGACATTTATAATATTTTTTACGTTGGGCGCCACTTAAAAACAATTAATTAATTCATTACTCAATTGATGAATTAAAAAATATATATTCAACTCTAACTTCTCAGCTATTAAAATGAAGTTTTTTTTTTAAATTGACATTTTTAAAAAAATGTCAAATTTTTTCACAAACTATTTAGAAATGATATTTTCCCGCATAAAATAAATAAATAAAAAACTTCCCAATATTTTTTAACTTTCTCATTTTACTCCACCTCCTGCCTCTTGTTTACGTTGGGCGCCAATTACATATTTATTTATTTTTTCCCATTAGTTTCTTTTTCTAATGCGTCTTAATATTACGATTTTTTGTCATGACCTAATTTTCATTATACATTTTATTATATTTTAGGTAATTATTTCAAAATGTTAATTTCTTGGCCTATCAATTTACCTAAGCGGCCTAAGGCAATTCCAAACAATAATTGGAGAAAAAAAACCCTACATTCGAATCATATCTTTAAAATGCTTTTAAATCCAATAGAGAGGGACAGACAGGCTGAGAGTGTAGATAAAACGAAATTAAACTAAATCAAGTTTTGTTTAATTCGATTTAAATTAAAATGCATCAAAAGACAATTAATCACATCGAACGACGACACCATAATAATAAAAACCACAATAACAACAACAACACAAGATATGCTCAAAAAATTTCGGCGTCTGCCATATGTGATGGCCATACTCTTGGTCGAAGCTGTAGATGTAATCTATGGTAGTTGTAGGCGCCAATTGCGGGTACTCTTTTTTAATGATTTAATGTTTCTTTTTGTGGATTTTTATTGACATGCCATGACACGAAGTGTAGTAAAAGGGTTTCCCCCCAATAAAAGGCACCCAAAAACAACAATAAATACTAAAAGAAGTAATTACATCATTTTAGAAATAAAAGGAGAACAAAACATCAGGAATGCGTGTTCTTTGATAACCTGCCCACCTTTTTCGTGTGTGTGTGATTTTTGTAGGCTAACCTAGGAATTTCACCCTTTCCAAGACGAGACACGACAAGTGTTACCAAGATGAATGACTTTATAAATATTTTGATACTTCTGATCTCAATCTCTCTCTTTTTCTTCTTCTCTGGGGAGAAGATTAGTGGGGGAAATCCATTGAAAATGAAATCTAATCCAGGTACATAGATCATGTGTAGATTGTAATCGCTACACATGATCATCATCATTGGGCTGTCGGAATGTGTGTACGTCTGTTTATCTGTCGGACACACCAGCAGTATATTTGATAAATTATCAAACATCAATAATGACAGTAAAGTAGGTAATATCTCATCATAAGATGAGATGAGAAAGTCAAAAGCAAGCAGAGAGAAGAAAAAACAGTTAGCCATGATCAGTGGATGAAAAATACACATAGATTATTACACGGTGGTAATGATGGTAATAAAGAAGTACACACACACAATTGATAAGGAAAGTGTCCGTGTGGTATGTACTACTAATACTTAACACTAGTTAGGTACTTTTTGCAAAAAAATAAATAAATAAAAATAAAAAAAATATGAAAAGAATAACAACAATTTTTGTCAAACAAAAAATTGCTGGATTTGCACTTTACAAATTGATCCCACCTTCACGTTGGGCGCCAATGTCAAAGTATTAAATTTAATATGTAAATGACACCCTATCCATTTTTTTAATAAATAAATGTTTAGCCCTCTTAACTATTTTGCCATTATTATTATGTGTTTATTATATAAATATTTTTTTTTATAAAAAATTAGTACGTTGGGCGCCACTTGATCTAATATTTATAAAAAAATCATAGGTAATGAAGAAATAAAAAAAATTAAGCATCTCAACTCCTTTGCCATTTTTATTAGGTGTTGTCCTCTTTATATATATTTTTTTATAAAAAAATGAATACGTTGGGCGCCACTTGAATCAATATTTATATAAAATCATAGATAATGATGAAATATTTACCCCTTTTTAGTAATTTTGATATTTGAATTTAGTTCCTATTATATGTTGCAATTTTTACGTTGGGCGCCACTTTTTTTAAATGTTGCATTCATTTCAAAAATGCGACTAGGGATAAATTTATTACCAAACACGTAATATTTAGCTGATTATATTTCCTCAAAATTGTTTAGATATATAAGGAAATTTACAAGGGGAAACGGGCTCTACCTTACATTGGGCGCCACTTATAATTTATTACATTTTATGAGCAAGGTCATCTTATTTATTTATAAAAAATCTGCAACTATTTTTAGCTCTTCTGACATTTTAATTGGGTGTTGTTTCGGATTTTTTAAATAAATTAAATTAATATCTTGGGCGCCACTTGAAACAAATTAAAAAATCGGAACTACTGATAAAATATTTAAAGATTTTAATTTTCCTATAATTTAAATTATTTTTTAATTTTTATTTTATTTTATTTTTACGTTGGGCGCCGCTAATTTTTTAATCCTTTTTTTTTTAAAATAAATTATGGGAAGAAAATTTATTTAAAAAAAAATTATATTTAGCATGTTAAAATTTTATTTAGATTCCCGAAAACTTTCTTTACATCCATTACATTTCCACTACTTTATGTTGGGCGCCAATGTCAATATATTCCATTTTATTACAAAAAAGAAAACATATTTATAAAACAACATTATTCTGCAGTTCTATTAACTTCCCACTGATTTTATTTAGGTATTTTTTAAACAGGGAAATACGTTGGGCGCCATTTGAAAAAATATTTTTAAAGAACATTTAAACCAATAATGAAATATGTTTACTATTTCAAGTGTTTATCAAATAAAAAGTTTGTTATCTTCTTTATTTTTACGTTGGGCGCCACTTATTTTCGTAATGTTCGAGATTTTTCCGCAATAAATATTGGAAGATATTTTATCAAAAAAATGCAATATAGAGGTTGTTAAAATTTTATTTTTTGTTCCTTAAAATTGTATAGCAATATATAATTATTTCCACCAATTTTACGTTGGGCGCCACTTTTTTAATTTTCGATTTTTTTCCAAAATAAATATATGGAGAAATTGTATTCTAAAAATAAACGTAATAATCACATATTTATGATTTAATTTAGATTCCGTAAAATTTTCTAGTCATACAAAATGTTACGTTGGGCGCCAATGTCCACATATTGAAGTTTATACCAAAAAGGAGGTTTTATTTAGAATCTGTAACTCCCTGCACTCTCTTTGCTTCGTTGCTATTTCAATTAGATTTCAATAAAAATAT